AAAATTACTTTGCTATAAGCAAGCATTTACCTGAATGACATCGATTCATTCAGGGTTTTTTTTATTCATGCTTAGCTGTGATTTGGCCACAGCTTGTGCATGTGATCGCTGCGACCATTCACAGCTAGACACACTAGTATACAATGGAAGGCATGAAAGGAAGCCATCCATTGTATACAACTGTCATGTGACCTGCTGTGATTGGTCACAGCAGGTCAAATGGTACTGGAAATGTGGCCGGTACACAGATCTGTCGTCGGCCGGTGACAGATCGCACCACAGAGCGGCCCTGCAGGCAGGCGCATGCATGAAAGGACACCATATGGCATCCACCCGGAGGGACGAGGTGTTTTGCCGGCTGCCTTTGTGCTATTGGCCGGGCAGGAACCGGTTAAATAACAATGGTGCAATCTATAGGTGTGCCAAGTCATCTTGATGCAATTGTGCTCCTTTAAATGAAGGCTCAGGTAAGCAACAAATTTGGCAACATGCAGAGTGTATTGCAATCAGACAATGGAACTGAATATAAAGGTGACAACACACAGGTGATTCTCAGAAAGCATTACATAATATTTCAAACTACTGTACCATACAACCCAGAGCAAAACAGAGTTGCAGAAAGAATGACCGTACTCTATGTGACAGTGGAAGAACCATGTTGTTTGATGCAGATATGCCAACCAGGAAATTATGACCACATGCTATCTTCATAATCAACTACTAGGAAAATCAACTGAGAAAAGTCCATATAACCATCTATAATTTTTGAAAGCAAAGCCTATGTGCACAGCCCAAACAAAATATATACAAAATGGAGTGCTTGCGTAAAGGAAGGTGTACTTGTGGGGTACAGTGAATCTCAAAAGGGATACAGAATTCTACACCAAGACACAAACAAGGTAACCATCAGTAGAGGTGTAATTGTAGTTGAAAATTCCACAGCAGCGTCACATGAACATAAGCAACAAAGTGACACAGAAACAGAAATTAATGCAGACAATCCAAATACTGTAAAAGAAGAAACCAGGCCATAAAAGGTTCAATCAGGAAATCTACCAGAAGCAATAAAGGCATCCCAGCCAAATGTCTGTCCTATGTTGCTCGCATAGCTTTAAAACCAGAGCCAGATTCATGGGATCAGAGGCAAAGACTTCCAACCCAAAAGAAACAGATTTATAGAACTGAGATCTGAAATGGGACTAACATAATGAGTAGTTGTTTAGTGGGGGTGTTGGAATACAGTGTTCATGTATTTTATGCAACGACTACATCAGTATTCAGTAGAGATATATTCTTCAGGTAGTAGATGGCAGTGTTTATAAGTTTGTAGCTGCATCTATTATAAACTCTATGTCTTTTCATTGAATAAAATTTCCTGTTTCGTGGTTGCACTGAAGAAGAAAAGCACGCATGGACTGTGCACTGTTAGTTCTGTAGAGCTATATACAGAATTTCTAACAGTGTGGAAGCACTGGTCTCTCTAAAGAGGCCTGCAACACTCTCTGCTGACTCGTCATATGTTGAGTTTTCTAATCAGCATGGGGTATGATATTTGCTGATTGCACAGATATAAAAATTCTGTGCTTATAAATCAAATGTGATTGGCTTCTACAAAATAGTACAATGAACAAAGCACATTATAATTCTGACACACTTCATGGCTCCAGATGATCTCTTTTAACAGTTTGGAAGCATCCATTTTACATCACAACATGAGGAGGCCATTTTGGACCCCTGCTCTATATGTGGAGTCAGAGCTAGAGTTCTTTAATCAGCTGGAAGCATGATCTTTGGTATTAACAGAGATATACAGTCATGGCCAAAAAATTGGCACAACTGCATTTCTGTCAGATAATGCACCACTTCACCCAGATAATTGTTGCAATTATAAATGTTTAGGCATTCTCATGTTCATTTCTTTTGTTTGTATTGGTATGACACAAAAAAGTGAAGAAACAAAAAGCCAAAGCTGACACATTCCAAGTCCAAAAATGGACTGAACAGAATTATTGGCACCTTCTCAAAACTGTAAAAAGTAATGCATTCCAAGTTTGTGATGCTCCTGTAATTTGTAGTTAAACTTACCTGTATAAATTAACAGATCCTAATGTTCCTGTGTCCACTGTGCACAACATTGTCAAGACATTTTAAATCCCATGGCACTGTAGCTAATCTCCCTGGACATTGACGGAAAACTTGATCAAAGATTGCAACTAGGGATTGTTCGAATGGTGGCTAAACAACCTTTATCAACTTCCAGCCAAATTCAAGATGATCTTCAGGCACAGGGTACAACTGTGTCAGCTTGCACTATACGTCGCCATCTGAATGAAAAGGGACGTTATGGTAGAAGTCCCAGGAGGACCCCACTGCTGACACAGAAACAAAAAAAAGCCAGATTGGAGTTTGCCAAAACTTACCCGAGGAAGCCAAAATCCTTTTTGGAGAATGTGCTGTGCACAGACTAAACAAATTACAGCTTTTTGGTAAAGCCCATCATTCTACTGTTTTCAGAAAAAGAAATGAAGCCTTTAAAGAAATGAATACAATCCCTACAGTAAACATGGTGGAGGGTCACTGATGTTTTGGGGTTGCTTTGCTGCTTCAGGCACTGAATGTCTTAACCATGTGCATGGCTATATAAAATCTGAAGGCTACCAAAGAATTCTGGGGAGCAATGTAGGGCCCATGGTCAGAAAGTTGGGTCCCCGTCAGAGGTCATGGGTCTTACAGCAGGACAATGACCCAAAGCACATGTTAAAAAGCACCCAGAAATGGTTGAAGACAAACCGCTGTAGAGTACTGACCTTAGCAGCAATGAGTCCAGTTCTCCATCCCATAGAGCACCTGTGGAGAGATCTCAAAACAGCAGTTGGGAAAAGGAACCCTTCCAATCTGAGAGACCTGGAGCAGTTGGCGAAAAAAGAGTGGTCCAAAATTCCAGTGGAGAGGTGGAAGAAACTCATTGATGGTTACAGGAAGTGATTGATTTCACTTATTTTTTCCAAGGGGTGTGCTACCAAATATTAAATTCAGGGTGCCCTCCCCTTCTTGTCCTGACCTGGAAGTGATGTTATGAAGTCACTTCCGGGTCTCTGTTGATAGGTTCCTGGCCATGTAAGCTGGGAAAGGATGTAATGTGGTGCGATGTGCACTGCATTACATTCAGTGAAGCACAGGGGAGACATGCAGGGTCTTTTAGATCCTGGATGCCTCAATAAAGAGAACCTGTCACCATAAAAATCATCATTTGTCCCTTATGTGATAAAAAAAAAAAAAAGTAAAAGAAAAAACAAATTGTACACCCAAGCACATACCGCCCCCCCCAAAAAAATTGAGACCGCCACCCCCACATATATGCACGTACAAACATAAAATCACGTGCTGTGGCGCCTACTCATGAAAACGTTGATTGCGATACACATGTTACATATCGCCACGCACGCCAAAATGAGAGCAATAATTCTAGCACCAGACCTCCTCCGTAATGCTAAACTGATGACCTATAAGGGGTTTTAAATGTGTCAACCTATAGAAAATATAAGGTACTGAAGTTCGTCACCATTTCACAAGCGTGCATAAATTTAAGGTTTGACATGTTGAATATCTATTTACTCGGTTCAACCTCATCTTTTATATTTTAAAAAATAATAGGGTAATTTATTGCTTTTTTGTGCCCTAAAATTTACTTTTTTACTGAAATTTTGCGGTAATATGATGCGACATAAAAAATTGGAACTATTTTTTTCTCTAGAGTCTCTGATTTCAGAAAATATATAATGTTTGGTTTTCTGTAATCTTTAGGCCTAAAATTATTTTTTAAACTTGTGCAAAAAATGCAAAAATTGGCTCTGACAGCAAAAGTGATAAAGGATAAACCCGACACGCCCCATTCCTGAGGAGCAGCCAATCAGTGCTCATTACACTGCAAGGTCTCTCCCCTCCCTGTAAGTCCCCGGGTGCAGTGCTGGAGACAGGCAGGGAGGAGAGGAGGAGATATACAGAGCAATTTTAAAAATATTAAATGTTTAAGTCGCATAAAGCCCCTTTTGTTTTTAAAAGCCCCAGACATTCCTAATATCTCCTCCGATTTAAATACGGTTGTGGTTAAAATGTATTTATTTTTTTTATTTGGACGAGTAGATTATCATGAGGGACAAGAAGATTGGGGCACCAATTTAGTCCCTGGACAAGTAGTTTTTAAAAAATTTCAGCAGCACCCTGCTAAAGTAATATTGAACGCAGTGTTTTTTAGCTTAACACATTGAGCACCATAAAATAAACATTTCTCAGTAAACTGCTTGATAAAATTTTTACCCCAACACTTGCAGTATAGAACTTTCAATGCTGCCTTCTCCTGCTCTCTCATTGCTGCTTCCCTGAACATCTGGTCTTCACAGAAAATTTGAAAGTGGACCTTGCAATCTCAAGTCAGTCATGATAGCTTGGAGAAGAAAGGGGAGAGAAGGAGGAGGAAGCACTGGAGTGCCTTGTTATCCTAGGCCAGTGATGGCGAACCCGTGGCACGTGGCACGCCGAGCCTTATCTGTGGGCACGCCAGGAGAATACCGTATTTTTCGCTCCATAAGACGCACTTTTTTTTCCCCCAAAAAAGGGGGGAAAATGTCAGTGCGTCTTATGGAGCGAATATAGAGCGGCCGGTCCGGTATTTCCACCGCCGCCGTGTCAGAATACCGGGCCGGGCCGCTCGGCTCTGCAGTGGGACCGTACCTGTCCCTCTATCCAGTGTGCGTGACAGCCGGGTCCCAAGTGCGCATGCGCAAGAAGCAGTGCTCTTTGTGAATGGTAAGGCGGTACCTGGGACACATGACAGATCCCAGAAGCCACCGGACCAATCACAAAGCGCAGCGCTTCTGTGCACACTGGGCATCCGGCTGTCCGACGAGCGCCCACACTACTGGTCATCCCTGTACTGTCTGCGGAAGTAAGAGCAGGTACCTGTCTCAGGTACCCGCTCCCCATCCCTGAGCAGTCATCTGTTTCCGCAGTCTCTGGTCATCCCTGTACTGTCTGCAGTCTCTGGTCATCCCTGAGCTTTCCGCAGTCTCTGGTCATCTCCTGTACTGTCCGCAGTCTCTGGTCATCCCTGTACTGTCCGCAGTCTCTGGTCATCCCTGTACTGTGTCCGCAGTCTCTGGTCATCCCTGTACTGTGTCGCAGTCTCTGGTCATCCCTGTACTGTGTCTGCAGTCTCTGGTCATCCCTGTACTGTGTCTGCAGTCTCTGGTCATCCCTGTACTGTCCGCAGTCTCTGGTCATCCCTGTACTGTGTCCGCAGTCTCTGGTCATCCCTGTACTGTGTCCGCAGTCTCTGGTCATCCCTGTACTGTGTCTGCAGTCTCTGGTCATCCCTGTACTGTGTCCGCAGTCTCTGGTCATTCCTGTACTGTGTCCGCAGTCTCTGGTCATCCCTGTACTGTTAATTAGTTTGCACTACTGTACGAGTTGTTTTTTCTAAACCAAAAGCTCGATATTCAGGTTTCATTGCAGTGTTGGCACTTTGAAAGAAATAAGTTGGTTTTGGGTTGCAGTTTGGGCACTCGGGCTCAAAAAGGTTCGCCATCACTGTCCTAGGCTATGGGGCTGAGTGTTATATTAATGCACACAATGTTGGGAGACACAACCCTAGTCCCTGCATGAAAAGGTGGCTCCATAGGATACTGCAAGAGAAAGGCACCCTGAAACAGGAAACCTGGGACAGTGATAATGCCACCAACTTAGACAGGAACAAAGATTAAAAGATAAAGAAGGTTGTGAAAGTGCTTAAAAATGAGGGCTTAATATCGCTTTACCAAAGTATGACTAAATCAAGGACAGGCAGCAGAATGGCTCACAGCATAGTCACTACGCCACAATTGACCATGCACACAATGGGGTTATTTACTAAAACTGGAGAGTGCAAAATCTGGTGCAGCTCTGCTTACAAACCAATCAGCTTCTCAGTTTTATTGCCAAAGCTTAGCTGAACAAGCTGACATTAGAAGCTGATTGGCTACCATGCACAGCTGCACCAGATTCTGAGTGCACCAGTTTTAGTAAATCTCCCCCAATTACTTTATAATTATTATACAAAGTTCTTTAAACTTTTTTATTTTTTGGAGAACTACAAACTTCAGCTGTCCTATAATGTTTTAGATGAGGAGAGACTAATTTTTTGACTTTTTGATTTTTTGACTGCATTAGAAATACAGGGTTAAATTTAGTATGTAGCAGCAGTTCAGAGGGCAATAAATATCTGCTGATAAGACCGCTAAGTAAATGTTTCTTACTGCACAGAGTGGGCTTTGTGACTAGCAAGGTCAAGGATCCTGAGGTCTGACTTCAGTCACTGCATACAGAAAACTTCACAGTTTCATTTATAATGTCCTTAAAGTGTTAGTAAACCCAGGACCCTGCATTCACTATATCTGGTCTCCCACAGTACACAGACCATGGAAGTGCAATTATTTTAGTAAATATAAACTGCTAAATACCTTTTCTCATCAGCAGTTAGAGCAGTCCTGTGACTTCTATCAGTGTTCAACAGAGCAATGGTTAAAGCTTGTAGGAGGAGTTTTCATTCTCCTCTCACTGTCCTATGAGGCTGCATAACCCCTGTCCCCCTGTCCGGACAGTGCTGATTGGCCAAGTTTCCCTTACAGCTTCTCTATTAGGGCCCTCCTCCATCAACAGGCCCAAGATTAGCCTCATGGTCTGCTATGGCTATTGTTACGCCACTGACGATTATGATCCTGAGGTCAGACTTCAGCCCTTCTATAGAGAAAAATTCAGTTTCCTTTACAGCCTCCCTAATGGGGACCCCGTCTTACCCCAGGCCGAGGAGCAGCTACATGGCTGTATTGGCTAATATCAAGTTTCCCTTACAGCTTCTCTATTAGGACCCTCCTCTATCCCCAGGCCCAAGATTAGCCTCATGAGCTGCTATGGCTATTGTTACGCCACTGACAATTATGATCCTGAGGTCTGACTTCAGCTCTTCTCTACAGTAAATATCAAGTTTCCCTTACAGCTTCTCTATTAGGACCCTCCTCTATCCCCAGACCCAAGATTAGCCTCATGAGCTGCTATGGCTATTGTTACACCACTGACGATTATAATCCTGAGGTCAGACGTCAGCCATCTATACAGAAAAATTCAGTTTCCTTTACAGCCTCCCAAATGGGGACCCCTTCCTACACCAGACTGTGGAGCAGCTACATGGGCTGCATTGGCTCATATCAAGTTTCTCTTACAGCTTCTCTATTAGGACCCTCCTCCATCCCCAGGCCCAAGATTAGCCTCATGAGCTGCTATGGCTATTGTTACACCACTGATGATTATGATCCTGAGATCAGACTTCAGCCCTTCTATACAGAAAAATTCAGTTTCCTTTACAGCCTCCCTAATGGGAACCCCTTCCTACACCAGACCGAGGAGCAGCTACATGGGCTGCATTGGCTAATATCAAGTTTCTCTCACAGCTTCTCTATTAGGACCCTCCTCCATCCCCAGACCCAAGATTAGCCTCATGAGCTGCTATGGCTATTGTTACGCCACTGATAATTATGATCCTGAGATCAGACTTCAGCCCTTCTATACAGAAAAATTCAGTTTCCTTTACAGCCTCCCTAATGGGGACCCCTTCCTACACCAGACCGAGGAGCAGCTACATGGGCTGTATTAGTTATTTTTCAGTCACCGACAATGAGGATACAAAGGTATGACCTCAGTTTCTATACGGGGAACTTTATGTTTCCTTTACAGCCTCCCTAATGGGGCACCAATTCTATCCCAGGCCCAATAACAGCCGCATGTTCTAGTACAGCTATTTTTATGCCACTGCCAATGAGGATCCTGAGGTGTGATTTCAGCCCTTCTATACAGGAAAATGTACAGTTTCCTCTACAGCCTCCCTAATGGGGCACCCCTCCAACCCCCCGGCCCAATATCAGCCGCATGATCTGCCGTGGATATTGTTATGCCACTTGCTCATTGAACTTTGAATATCCTTAAAATTTGGAGTGTTGCTGAGGGGAAAAGGCTTTATCCCATGAATAATCATCCTCCTGCATTGATTGATATTTACAAAGATCATTGGAATAATTATGGCTGTCCTTTATCCTCATTTCTTATTGTCCTTTTTGTCTGTATGGCCTGGGAGTGAATAAATGCAAATATGCAATTCTGTAATATTCATATCACAGCATGGAAGTAGAGACTTTCATTTACGTTTTTAAATTATGTATAAACCCTTTTTCACCGTAGTATATTGAGTCATTTGTCAGTGAATCACTGAGGATAGTAAAATCCACTGTGCAATTGGTGTGCTGCATATTAAAAATATATTGTTTATTACACATAACACAGAGGTTGGAGAGTGAAGAGGTGGCTATATATAGACTCATAGAGGCTGCAGGGTTTTTTACTTGTCGGGATATAAATATTGCCATACAGCTCATGAAACAAACATAAACCCAGCATTAACTCTTACCCACGCAATATACTGTAAGAATACTTCAAGGATTTGGTCAAAGTAATTGCTGCACAGCATGATGAGATGTCAACATGAGAAAACAATTTATAGCGTGATAAAGCAGGGGCACATGTTGCAGCAAAAACTGGGTGTGACTAAATAGGGGGGTGTGGCTTCCACTGTCTCAGCGTACCATACAGGCTTAATGTTCCTGTATGGTACATGGTGGTGCTGAGGCTCCGCCCACTTTGGCCAGAGGAGGAGAGTGTTGGAGGCAGGTAGAGTGCAGAATCAGGCAAGTTTAAGAAGTTGTTCTACAATCCCATAGAGCACTGGTGTCCAAACCTTTGCTTGCATTTATCTAGCCTTTGGGGCTCCATTCCTCTCATTGACACCAATAATGAGACATAATTCTTCCCACTGACACCATCAATGGGCACTATTCTTCCCACTGACATCAACAATGGGGCACTATTCCTCCCACTGACCCCAACCAGTCGAGCACTATTCCTCCCACTGACACCAACAATGGGGCACTATTCCTCCCACTGACACCAACAATGAGTACTATTCCTCTCACTGACACCAAAAATGGGGCACTATTCCTCCCACTGGCAGCAGCAATGGGCACTATTCTTCCCACTGACACCAGCAATGGGGCACTATTCCTCTCACTGACATCATCAATGGGTCACTATTCCTCTCAGTAATAACAGTGATGGGCTATTGTCTACCCCAACTGACTTTGGAGCATTTTATACTCCCACAGGCCACATCCTGGCCCCCTAAAAGTCTGAAGGACAGTAAACTGGTCTTTTGCTTAGAGTGGTTGGAGTATAAGTCCTATTTTAAATAGGAAAATTAAAAAGATTTATATGTTAACTTAAATTTTTCTGTGATTTCAGTTCCTGGTATGGAATAGGCACTGGTAATGTAACCCTGGCCTCACGGATGCCCCCTGGAAGCTTGTGTCACCAGTGCCTTCCAAGGAATTCTCACAGGTGAACTGTGAGATCTGTTAGAAATAAAATAATGGGCCCATTCATTTTTTTTTTTTCTGACAGTAACCTGGAATAGATGGAGGAAGTTGAGTCGGTCACCAATGGCGTCCAGGAGTAAAAATTACAGTGTGAGATTAGAGGAGGGAAGAGGCACATTAGCATGTGGTTACAATTAGATGTTCATTTTTCAATAAACACTTTGCAAGGGGAAACTGGTAAAATTGTGCATTTCCCATTTTTCTGTCTCAGTGAAAATGGTCATCAGGACAAATATAGGTTAAATCTTCCCAACAGAGACACAGCAAAAAACCTAAAAGAGGCTCCAACCCTCTTAACAATGTTTTTGTTGACCACAAATACACTTTACACTCACTTTACTTGTGGGCAAATTTACAGTGCACAATCAAGACGTGGATGGCGGAGAAAGTGATTTTGTTCTGCCTAGGGCAGCATATTGTGGCACTCCTGAATGAGAAGTAATAACCTGGTACCTTCCTGGCAATTGATATAATGAGGACAATAATAGTATTGTCAATATACAGTATATTCTTTTACTATTTTTAAGTTTTAAAAGTAGTGGGGAAGGATAAGCACTACTGTTGGGTTTTCACTGCAATCCAGGGCTCCTTCAAACACCATTTCAGCAGACAGCAAGTTGGAGATGTCAACCTAGAGAGAAGCTCACGAGGGTCATTGAGACCTAACTGGGGCACAAAAGTGCACGTTAGGTCTGCAAACAGAGGATGGGGCCCTAAAGGTAGATATTTCCTGAACTCAAACAGCTATCTCACTCTGGATGAGTTCTTAGGCTTAGGAAATGCCTCCTCCCTGTGTTTGCTAAGATTATTGTGTATTTTACTAACTGTACTATGGAAAGCTAGCTGA